ATAGGAATAACTGATTAAATAAGAGTTACAGTACAGAAAAGGATCTAGGCAGGTGACAGTCCCTGATTTCTTACCAGTCTGGATGGTGGGCTGGAAAGTGGGCTGAGGTTGGTAAACCACCGAGGGACCGGGGTACGGCGGTGCTGATGTGGCCATAGCAGGTGACTGATCCTTTTCCATATCTGTCTCAAGGAGCTGCAGAAAAACAATTTAAAAGAGGCTATATTAAAATTTTATAGTCCAAAACAAAGGTCTTTTGATCACTCTGAGAGAAGGAAAGTGGTTCAAGTCAGGTGGTCAGGCTAAGGAGCGGGTTTGGGTCCAGACTGAAGCTTCTCTGGAAACTGTCAAAACTTGCTGATCCAGTTTTTAAGCAACGAATGGATGAATCTGATACCACAATATCTGCATGTACACAAGCAAGCAAGTTTGGTGGCTTTGCATTGTGTCATCACAAAACAGTAGCCTGTAAGTGAGAGTTTCTGTCCCCACATGACCACAAGTCACATTTCTCCAGAGGCCAGATTGAGGTCAGTTGTTCTCACTTGTTTCACAAATAGCACAAATAGCACCACTAAAAAGAGAATGTTTTGTGTTAAATGTATTTGCATGTAAAAGACTTCACACACACATCTGTAAACAATGCATCCAAAAAAGCCTTGACGATCACATTTGCATTAAAACTTTCTTCGGGGGTTACAATCCTTACCATTAATGCATCGAAGTGTGTCTTTGCCAAGGCCGAGACAGAGTACCTGGGGTTTGTCATAGGAAATGGGGTGATAAAGCCACAAGTGAATAAGATTCGAGCCATTGAGTCATGCCCGCTGCCTGAGACAAAGCCGCTCAGATCTTTTCTCAGTATGGCAGGATTTTACCATCGCTTTTTCCACATTTCTCTGCCAGGGCAGCTTCCCTCACTGATTTGACTGGATCCAGATGTCCTAAACCAGGTCCAGTGAACCAAGGAGGCATAGGCAGCCTTTCAAGACATCCAACAGTCACTAAGTAAGAGCCAAGTCTTATACAGACCAGATTTTCAAAAACAATACATCCTTCAAAACTGATGCTTTGGAAAGGGGTCTGGGGGCTGTCCTTCTACAGGGACCTGCAGAGGAACGACATCTGGTGGCTTTCATCAGACGTAAACTGTTCGCTAGGGAGGTCCAGTACTCAACCGTGGAGAAGCAGGCACTAGCCATCAAGTGGGCCCTTGACTCCTTCGATATTCAAATCATAATCTAATTTAACATTATCAAGACTTACCAGAACTAAATTTCAAAACCATTCATCAAATTTTCATCAATATTTACAGGATCCGTACAAACTCAAAACACACAACCTAAATAATGAAAAAAACCCAACATTATTCAGGACACTAGACTACTTTTTTCACAGTGCTACCCACTTTCTCATTTTGTTGCACCTCCCACCTGGTCAAAGGCAAAACATACGAATTGCTGAACATTTTCTTGTCGATAGACGCTACGATTTACTGATGCTCCCTGAACGCCCCACATAGCAGGCTGCAGTAGATACCTGGTGGCTGTGGTGCTCTGACAGGTGAGTGACCAAAAATGACTTCAAAATAATACACTGGGGCGTTCTGATGTCAGATTTATCCGAGGTTAAACCCAGTTACATGAATTCTACACGCAGTCTTTTCTATGAGCAGCCTTTTTTCCATTGACAGCATGACCGATGCTTTAGGCCATCACGACAGGACAGTTTTGATATCCAACCACAGACGACAAAAGCAAATAAAGACAAAATGAATGGGTTTACAGTAAAAGTGGACGGGTCCGGGACGCACCGACCTGCGCCCCGTGAGAAAGTCTGCAGCTACCAATTAGAGCCCGGGCTGAGGTCATATGATCACAAAGTTTTCGAGCTACATACACACTCATGTGGTCGGCGTCCCGCATCCAGGAAGTGTAAAATTAATAAACACGCAGTTAAGACTAATATTAAATCTGTTAACAATACAAATATTGTTAATATAGAAAAGGAATATGAACGTTATTATTCATTTTATTATTATGTGTTAAGTTATGTGCTCTCATTTCATTTGTTGATTATACCCCTAAACTATTTTGTTGTATTGCCACCATGGTGACAGCATGTCATGCGACAGCTTGATTGCAGATGTCCCACAGGTGTGCAATAAATAAGGTGTGCTCGTGGATGTGAGTGTTCACACAAAAAGAGAAAACGTGTGCTGTGATTACGTCACGTTAAACCTGTGCAAAAGAAGACTCTGCTAACATTTTGTTATAATCAATTCAAATTTAATATTGTGTTTGAGAACTACTTTTTATCTGGTCATTAGCAGTGGGGCGGCGCCC